TCCTTCTTTCTTTTTGTCTCCCTTTCAGACTTTCTTTCTTTCATCATTCCTTTATTTTTGTCTTTCGTTTCATTTTTGTTTTCTTTTTACATTACTATCTTTCTCTTCACACCCTCTTCCTTTTCCCCTTTTCTTTCTTTCTTTCTTTCTTTCTTTCTTTCTTTCTTTCGTTCATTTTTTTCCTAAATGTTCGTTTTTCTTTCGTTTCATTTTTGTTTTCTTTGTGCATTCCTCTCTTTCTTTCCATTTTCTCTTCCTTTTTTCTTTTTCTTTCTTTCTTTCTTTCTTTCTTTCTTTCTTTCTTTCTTTTTCTTATTAATTATCTTTATTTTAATTTTAACAGTTTCTTTATGTTCCTCTTAACGTCATCTCTCTGACATTTTCTTTTCTATTTTTCCTTCTTATCCTTTCTTCTTCCGACTTGTCTTTCTGGTTTACCTTCTATTCAAAACCTTTACACCTAAGTTTTTCTTTTTTGTTTATCCTTCAAATTTCTTCCTCCTTTCCGTCCTCCGTTTCCTTTCTTCGTTTCACATCCCGAGAAATATATTCAGCTCGATTTACAGGTCAGATTGACGCAATATATTTTACAATCTATTAATCTATTATTATGCACTACGTAGGTGGTCTTTGTTTGTGGAATCTAAAAAAATAGGATGTATTTAGATTTTTGTTAAATATACACAATTTTCTAATCTATATAAAGCAGTCTGAATTTATTAGCATTTTATTGCGAGTTTCTTTTCAATTTAGTATCGTTGCTTTTTATCAGAAATCTTTGGGTGGATGCACTCTTCATTACACTATGACTAGTTTTACTTCATCGTATAATTATTTTACTTTTTCTCATGAAACGCACTCGAAATATACACTTAATTAAAATGATTTTAATCCTGTTTGTTTTATCTTGTTACTATTTATCACAGAGGAAACTACATAGACTGTGATAGATAGATAGATAGATAGATAGATAGATAGATAGATAGATAGATAAAAACAGAATTAGATAGATAGATAGATAGATAGATAGATAGATAGATAGATAGATAGATAAAAACAGAATTAGATAGATAGATAGATAGATAGATAGATAGTTAGATAGATAGATAGATAGATAAAAACAGAATTAGATAAATAAAAACAGAATCACATAGATAGATAAAACCAGAATTAGATAGATAGATAGATAGATAGATAGATAGATAGATAGATAGATAAAAACAGAATTAGATAGATAAAAACAGAATCACATAGATAGATAAAAACAGAATTAGATAGATAGATTAGATAAATAGATAGATCGATAGATAGATAAAAACAGAATTAGATAGATAGATAGATAGATAGAAACAGAATTAGATAGATAAAAACAGAATCACATAGATAGATAGATAGATAGATAGATAGATAGATAGATAAAAACAGAATTAGATAGATAAAAACAGAATCACATAGATAAAAACAAAATTAGATAGATAAAAAGAAAATTAGATAGATAGATAGATAGATAGATAGATAGATAGATATGAACAAACCAGATAGTTAAATCGATGGATATGAACACACCAGATAGATAGATATATAGATAGATATGAATACACCATATAGAAAGATGAAAACAGAATGAAATAGATAGATAGATAGACAGACAGACAAACAGACAGACTGATAAAAAAGTAATGAGATAGATAGAAAGATGATGATGACAGTGAGAAACACAAATTCAACACTTGTTTTCATCCCTTGAACAAATTTACTCCTTAGTTTTTCAAGATATTTGCGTGCAATTTTGATAATATATCTGTTAAAGTGAGATAGTGTTATTTTCATTTTTGTATCATTTAGACGACAATTTATCCATCGCACCCCGTATATAATATCATTGTAAATAGATGCTTGATAAAATAACTGTATAACAACAGTAAATAGGTGTTCGGAAGAAGAACGATATAATACTGTAGAACCCCGTTGAAAATTGTAGAAAAAAATTAACTAAATTTAAGTTGTATCACTAATATCTCAATTCTATGCAAAACTAAGCTCATACGGATTTCAAATTCCCACATTAGCCTTTATTAACCAATCAGTCACATTGGCTCAAACGCCATTGAAAATTTCAAAAAGTGAACAAAATTCCTATCATTGGCTATTGAAGGTGCTCAGACAGAAATTGATTAACACTTTTTTCCTCCTGAAAATACATATTAAAAATTGCGAAATATATAACTTTTGAGTTTAGTAAATTTAACGTTTAACTTCCTGGCATTCGATTTTTTCTTTTAAATAGCGTAATGTAAATTAATATTCTTCAGTCTTCCGTATAATTTGATCGGGGGATTGTAAGTGATACTGAATTCTCAAATTTTCGCGTACACAAATTAATTTATTGAGTACTAAGTTCCTTTATTGTAAACTAATTCTCGCTTTTAAAGTATTTTCATAAACCATTCTGTCCAATTTAAATTACAGCGAGGCATAAACAAAGCGTAATTTTAGCAGCTATGTTAGTAAAGTTAGCTAACTGATGGAATTACATCATACACAGTCATAACGTAACGTAAATCGTGATTTTTTTTTTCCATTCAGAATTCACATATACTTTTCAGTAGCCCAAACGTAGATAAAGACAACAAAATCACGGTGGCTACGCTGACAGATTCGACATTGTTACTGTGCAGATCTAGCTAAAATTAAAACTCTTTAACAATAATTACAAAGTCGTAAGCTACAATTGGCATTCGTTTATTAGCCGGAATCAAGCAAGATCTTAAACGGAGTCCCTGAAGTGGTACACTGTCAAGTGGTCACTCGAACACCCGTCACACGCAATTATTTCATCAGTCTAAATTTACACACACTGTCCGGTAAAAAATCTTGCCCATCCCCTAATTTGTAAGAATTTCTTTTAAGATTTTTGATTGTACGTACTTGTCTTTTATAGCTTGTAACACATGACGATAGCACGCTTTTAACGAACGGGAACTCCACCATCAAACCAATGTTACTATTTATAGAAGCTGTGATGAGCAAAAACGGACGCAAGTTATTAAGTAGAATCAACTTTTATTCCTGAATGAATGTACACCCTGAACAACACTAGTAATTTCGGATTTCGCAGCCGTCTACAGGAAGCATCATAATTATCACAATGATTGAGTGTTACTACATTTATTATGGCTTATTTTTATCACTAAAATCTCTTTCATTTCACTTTGATGCCCATGGTTCATATCTATCTATCTATCTATCTATCTATCTATCTATCTATCTATCTATCTATCTCGGTTTGGTTCATATATCTCTCTCGCTCTCTCTCTCTCTCTCTATATATATATATATATATATATATAAAAGAAATATGTTGTAGTGGTTCCAACGAGAGAAAAGTATGTATATTAAAAAGAAGAGGGTGCCGCAAACGTTTTTGGTTGTAATGTGGATTTATTGAGAAAAAAAATATTATACTTTTGTTTTACATAATTTCACGACACGTGTTTCTGGTCTGGTCTCGCAACCGTCCTCAGGTGAAAGTGGAGATTTTTACATATTATTAAAAATAATTAATTTTTCTTCATGTTCAATGTGGAATATTCTCGATATGAGACATTCTGTTTGTGTGTTGGCAATCCGAATTTTCTTTCTAGAATTGTCAATGAAGAGTTCTAGTTTGGTTCATATCTATCTATCTATCTATCTATCTATCTATCTATCTATCTATCTATCTATATCGGTTTGGTTCATTTCTCTCTCTCTCTCTTTCTCTATCTATCTATCTATTTATCTATCTGTCTGTCTGTCTATTTATATATCTCGGTCTGGTTCAGATCTATCTATCTATCTAATTCTTTTTTATCTATCTATCTATCTATCTATCTATCTATCTATCTATCTATCCTTATCCGTCTTTCTATCTCAATCTATCTATCTATCTATCTATCTATCTATCTATCTATCTATCTATCTATCATATTCTATTTTCAGTAGGCTATGATAAGTTTTTAGCCACCCTTGATTATAGCAATTTTGGCTTGTGTAATAACGTATCTTTTATTCAGATAATACCATGTCAGTATCAAGTTACTCTAATCTATGAACGATAGTTGACTTATATTTTGCAATGAAAGTTCGCGGAAGTAAGGAAACTGGTGAATTTCAACAAGAGCAAATAATAGGATGGCTTCAGTGTGGCAAGTCAAATAGAGAAATTGTTAGGTTTTTCCAGGTTTATCATCAAATGGTTAATAATATTGTCAAGAAATTTAATGAAGAAGGCCATCGTCGTGTGGTACAACGTTCAGGAAGTCCAAATATCGTGTCTAAGTGAACGAAAAGGGCGCTGAATAGGGAAGTCACCAGAAACCGTCGTCAGAATATCAAAGATGTCGGCAACGGCATGGAAATGTCACCATATGCGGTGAGAAAGACTCTGAAAGAGCTAGGCTATCAAAGAATAGTTGCAAGAAAGAAGCCCTTGATTTCAGAGGTTAACAGGAACAGATGTATGGACTGGGCGAGAGAATTCGAGAGCAAAGATTATGAATTTTGGCTGTCTGATCTGAAGGGAAATCTGTGCTGATTCATGTTGATGAGTGATTTAAAGTCAAAAATACTGTCAAATATTAGAGAAAGGACTACTCCCATTATTTGAAACTAATCAGATTGACAAGAATGTCTACCTTCATCAAGAAGATGGAGCGTCATGTCATACGAGCAAAGTAGCAAAGGCATAGAAGGAATCGCAAGGAATCAAGTCACTGCGATGGGTAGCCCAAAATCCTGACATGGACCCAATAGAGCACGTTTGGGAGCACCTTAACCGAAAACTTCGAGAGCATGCAACCAAAATCACGTCCTCGCAAGAGGACTGTAGAGGAGCGAAAGATTTGACTACAGTTGATTACGTGTACGACTTCTGTCGAACTCTCTGCTTTGGCAGAGAGGAACCCGGACGAAACTTTGTATCCATTTGCATCGAAACTTTATATCCATCCATACGAAAGTATCCATTTCTTCAAGAAATGAGTCATTCGAATTTGGCAGATGCAGCATCGAGCACATTTTAAAATGTCGAAATGTTTGACTTTCACTGAGTTCACGCGGGACCCATTTATCTGGTATGTTCATCTTGATTATTTTCTTGAGCTGGTCCGATATTGTTGAAATGCTGACACTCATTATCTGAGACATTTGTCTGACACTTTAACATGGGTGTTGTTCGACTAGTGTGTCCAGATGTTGATTGTCAATTGCAGATCGACATCCTCTACCACCCTGATCTTCAAGACTCCTATCCATACTGCGGAACTTTAGAGACCAGCG